TCTGCGGTGTCCCTGTTGGAATTTTCGAGGGAAGGGAAAAACCAAGGGCCCAGGCGATTTCTGCATGGCGGAGCCTATGTTTGGAACCTCTTCGTTTGCTCAGTTTTTCTGCTGAGCCACAAGTCAGCGGCCTAGGCGTGGGCGAGTTGATAGGGTTCCCTGTCAGTGGCCTCGATTAGATACCCATTGGATCCCATGCTTTCCAACGAGCTTGTTAAGACGGCGGGATCCCTGCCCGTCCCTTGAGGTTTTTGAACCGACGACTAAATTTGCCTGGGCATTGCGTATCATGTTGTATCTTGCCGAAAGTCTTTCTTTGTGATTTTGGGTATGGGTTTGGCGGCTAACTCGCCTGGTGTTCTTCGAGTTACTCGGCTGTGGGAGCTTTCAAGTGGTAAGCTTGGACGTGACGGATTACAGGAGGCTGCAAGTAGTCCCATTGGCACTGTCAATTTCTGGAGGCTTCGGGCATCATTTCTTGCTCAACTGGTAGCCAGGTGCAGAGCATTGCTTCAGACATTGAGCAGCTGGAAGATAGATGCGCGACCTGGATCAAAAAAGTATTTGCACACTTTCGGGCAAAGATCAAAGGATCTAGACGATGGTTGATTTGTGCCATTGTCAAACTCAGTGTATCCCAGTTTGAGGCCCATCAAGATTAGGCACCAAGCCCTTTTCTCTGAGTTCTATGTGAGTCTCCTGCGAAAAAAAAAAAAAAAAAAAAAAGAAGAAAAAAAACTTTTGAGTCAATTGGCCAAGGGCGCCCAGGTTGTTGGGGCCCAGGTTGTTGGGGTTAGCTCAGGATGCGCTGGACCAGCGGAACCGCTGGCTGACGCATCGGCTCATGCAGAGACTCCAGGAATGGATCGCCCGAGCTCTCACAGGCCAGGTCGCAGGAATTTATTGGGGGGGGGGTGACAAAAAATCGGGGAGGACGCCTTTGCATGGGGTTTCAAGGGAAAGCAAATGACAAACCGGCCAGTGTATCAAGGCCAACAGACTCCTAGAAGGAGTTTTGGAGTTTTGACCAGAGACTAATGTCAGCGCGGAGGTTGATTTGCGGTCACACTACATCTGTTCACATTTAGCTTCTCATTTGTGATTGTCAAACATATCAATGTGTGGCAACCAGTCGGCCTGGAGCTCACTACAAATGATCAATCAAATGTCCTGTTGCGCTCCAATCTGTCCATTGTGCAACCACACAAGGGCACCACTTGGTGCGCACCAAGATCAGGGAAGCAAACTGGAAAGACGTTGGAAGGTTGCCAGGGACAAGCTTCGGGGCAATCCTCGGGGGTCCATAAGTTTTGGTTCCCACAGGTTCCATACAAGTACCGTATAGCAACCCCCCCGAGGCAAAAGCCTTGAATTGAAGATGAGCAGAGTCCTTTGAGTCCTTTGACATAGTTATCAAATATTCCCGTAGGAAAGGCCTGAAAGGCATTCCCAGGAATTCTAGTTTAAACTATGTTTGCAAAGCACAAATCCAATTGAGTTCTATTAGATTCCGATTGGAATTCTGCTTGGACGGCAATCCCTATTTACACTCTCATCTAATCTAACGTGTCCATTTGAATTGCATTGAAAGTCCTACTTGAACGACAATTCCTATGTGAAAGCTATCTCAGCATGACAATTCCATTTAAGTTCTGATTGAACACTTTCTTCGGAAAATGAATTCCTTCTAGTGCTTAACATGTAGCTCAAGGTGATAACTCCAATTGAACGCTGATGAACGTCCGACTTAAACTTAAAGCCTTGCAATCAAAACTTGCAAGGCACTATGCTGAGATTGCATGGTCCTTGATGGTTGTCCTTTGTTTTCACTTGGTTTAAGGGGCAGGCAAATTGGAAGAAGCCACCAGCTTGTGTTCCTCACTAGATTGTGTTTCAAGTCTAATTTCAATTCCTACTTGGACAGGAGTTCCTATTCAAAATAAGGATTAATTCCTCTTGGGACGGACTTCCTATTTGACATCCAATTCAACAATATGTCCCTTGAATTCTATTGAAAGACCTGCTTAAGCTTAAAGCGTTGCAGTTTGGACTTTGTAAACCTATGTTCCCCATTGAGTTTTCACCCCTCTTCAGGAGCAGACAAATTAGCAGAAACGACCAGCGTGTCTTTCCGTATAGTTGTTTTTTCTCCAAATTCTTAACACTCACTTGGGTGGAAAGGAGCTCCGGTTTAAATGATATTTTGATATCATAATTGTAATTACAGTAATTGGCAGGAAAAACCTTTGTCATTCTTCAGGGCGTTCTATTTCAATTCTAATGCACATCCTAGGATTCGTGTTCAACATCTATAATCAAAAGTCAGAATTGCAATTACTAGTTTCTAATTGAACCATAATTAAGTTCCAAACAATTTCCTCCCATTTAGCATCTAATTCAATATGAAGGTCTGCGTAAACGTAAACCTTTGCAATTAAAGTCCTGTAAACCAGTAGAAGTGAAAATGATTTTGCTCTGGAATTCTGTGTTTTTTTTCTTCATTTTTTGAGAGGCATGCAAATGAACAGAGACGGGCATGAGGATGGATGATTGCAGTGGATGGCCTTCTCCTCAAAACCCGGAAAAAAGCAGGAAAACCGATATCACAAACTAGCCAGAAAACCAGACATTGGAAACCAGGGTCCTCCGGAAGAAGGGCCCTCAACCTGAATCTGCCACAAAGCTGTGCTTGTCGCTGTGTGCAAGACAACCCGGGCAGCGGCGTCAATGAACTGAAGTGGACCGTTCCCTTGAGCCACGCAGTCATAAATGTCAAGGACCAGACAACTTGCACCTGTCACCCAGATTGTCAGGCTCGCCAAACATGATGAGTTTGGCAATCAGTTGTTGAGCCACAACTAAAACCCGGGTAGATTCAGGTTGGTAAAGGGCAGTCCTGCCGGAACTAGGTGCGGCCGCCATTTCCTTGTATCCCCGGATTTGGGTCCCGAGCATTTTAATACCGAGCGGTTTTGATCTCAGCTCAGCTTCCCCGCGCTAGGCAACGAGCGCGGCTTGCTGGGCACCGCCTTTCACGCGTGGAAGAAAGCGCGCCGCATGATGCAAATCGAGCGCAGGGCAGCGTCGGTTCGTTTGTCGGGTTCTGGCACAGAGCGTTTCATTGTGCGTAAAGGGAGTGCAAGAAACTCAATCCGTGGGTGGGTGTTGCTTTTAGGTTTGAGTCAAAGGCAGTCCCCCTTGCACCTTTCTGGGGATGACAATTATGAACGGGCCAGTTGGAGCAGGACTTCTGTGTGTGTGTGTGCAGTGCAAAGCACGACGGCAGTTTGGGGAGCATGAGGTGTGAGGATTGGTCAGAATCAATGAATAATGTATGTAGACAAGCAGTCCGTTTAACATTGCTCTTTTGGTGTGACGGAAAATAGGGGGTAAATCAACATGCCAAGGATTTGTGTGTGGGATCACAACAAGTCTGTGTGTGCACTTCCACGGTGTGGCTCAGGGCTGCCACTGGGGCTTCCCTCTTTCACGAACCATCGGAAGGCGCCGTTGAGATGGATATCCTACCTACCACGTATCAAACCGCTTCGTCCATGCAGCCTCCTTCACCTAGCAAGCTGCCAGGACTGCCCAGCGCAGGAACAAAAACTCGATCCATGCCCCCCTGTTCCCACAGGCAACGGCGGGCCTCGCTTTTGCAAACGTCGGGTCGCATCGATGCTGGCCAGGCAGCATTTCGGCGTTTCTTGCAACACACCTATGAGGGAGACCAATCATTCTTGGGTCCCCTCTTAGGAGCCAACCTGGGCTTTTGGACGTAGGCAAAGGCAGACCTTGCTGCGTGCTCCAGTATATCCATGTTTTCAGTTTCGGGTCTTGTTTTGTTAATATCACCTTTCGGAAGCTGCTTAAACACCACCGTTTGCCGTCTTGACTCAACATCACTGTTGAGTTTGTGGTGGTCTGGTGCTGTTTGAAAATAGCTGAGTTTGCTTTTGGCCATTTCTAGCCTCACACAGGTTCTTCTGGTTGGGGTCCGGACCTCTATGACACGAAACAGGTTGAGTTTGTTTTTGGCCATTCCAAAAACCAAACGCAGCCTCCTGGTTGGCTGGAGTTGGTTTGCCTTCCATTTCTTGGCCCTCAAATTCCAAACCAACCAGGGGCTCCCTGGTTGGCTTCTTTGGCCCTTCGCCCCAAAGCGGAACTCGCGGCGGGTTTTGGATCGAAGCGTTTCGAAGGTCGGGGCCTGCAGCTGGAGCAGCTGCTGCAGCGGCAGACGGCCCAGCTGGAGGCCCAGCAGGCGCTGGCCCAACGCCTGGCGGAGGCTCTGCAGGCAGCAGACGCGGCGCGCGCGCTGGGTTGGGACCAGTGGATGGACGAAGGTGTTTGGTTTTCTCGCACGAAATGAAGGCCATGGAAGTCTTCCATTTGCGTTTAGAATGTGTTTTCATTATTATGATTTTCCCTGGTTGGTTTTAAAGGGAATAATATATATCACTACCGGACATATGTTGTTTCCAGAGGGCTTGAGCAAATGGAGGAATTGCAAACCATAAGGTTCGTTGGTAAGTTTTCCTTGGTGAATCATCAGAAGCCAGGGTTTCTTTGGTGGAATTTGTCCATCCACAGCACTGCGGATGGAACGAAATCCTGTTGGGCAAAAAAAAATGGTAAGCCGCAAGATCCTCCCCTTCGGTTACGCAAGGAACCGTTCCCTTTTGTAGCCGCTTCGATTAGGATTGGCCAACCCTCCATTTTGAGCAGCCCAGCTCAGGCACCTTCGTTCGAAACCCAACAGAATGAGTTGATTCCCCATCTAAATACCAAGAACACTTGTGGTTTCAACCATGGCTTCAATTTGGTGCGAACGGATGTATTCCATCCATGGGGTAACAACGGAAATTATGGTTGCCCTTGACTGGAATTCTGATGGCAGACAATCATACATGTAGGCGGCAGGGTTGAACATCGACCAAGCTGCAGGTTTTGTGGGCCGTTGATGGTGGTTTTAATGAGGGTGAAGGCCATGAACCTAGGCTGTGGGCCAAGGTTTTCCGCAGTGATTGGCCCAAAACCAATGGTGGCTACTGTTCTCAGCAGGGAATATGTGAATATTCCACCCGCATGAATTAGCCCAAAGAAGTCCAAGCATGGTTGCCATGTTTGTTTCTTACCTGACTACTACAGTAAACCTTCCAAATCTTGCTAAGGATGGTCCTTGTTTCAAGAACGTCTTGTACTTCCAAGGAAACCCATGTAGGATCGTCTCGATTTTGTTCCAAAGGCATTCTGTGGATTTGTAGGCGATGATTTCTCACATTGCTGCAGCTTCATTGGGCTATGCGGCGTATCTGGGAGTCTCATTTGCATCTTGATCCTTGAGACCTTCCAGGGTGTTGAAGGGGTCCAGTGGCCCCCAAGGCTTGTTTGGAGCGGACGTTGGGGCCCGTGTCCGCTTCAATCTGTCGTTGGATTAGGATCCGGTCGCCAATTTGTAACCAATTTGGACAGCGTGAGTTGCAATCCATTGCAAGGATTGTCGTGTAAGGGCGCAAACATAGCTCACCCTGAAATGTCATGACATGAAGCAGTCCACCTCATGTGTTGTGTGACAAAGATCGAGGTGGAAAAGGTGCAAGAACACAACCCAATGTTGCAATGCCTTGTGCTCAGGAATTTCATCTTTGGACAGCCGAGCCCTTAAAGAGGAAGGGCAGGGCACGATTCTCGAGCGAATGAGCTGTGCCAGGAGGAGCAAAGCCGGCGCAGCGAGGCCGGCATGTCGCGGGTAGCTGACCAATGCGAGGACCGTGGAAGACCTTTTAAGGCAGACTCGAGGTATACAGTGATTACGAGGAGAGCAAGCAGTACCAGCAGTACATGTATGTGTTATGGCAATACCTGACGCCCATTCACACATGGAGAAGCTAGCATGCGAGTCTAGCGTTTGTGACGCGCAGGACAAACACCACATTTGCAGACAGCTCTTACCTTGGCGCTCTTGAGATTCGTTCGGGTAGCAAAATAGCGGACTTTTGAGGTGAGCAAAGTGGGTCGAAAGGCAGCGTTGCACTGAACATTATCTTCACAATCAGGGTTGTGGGATCAAGGGGTTTATTCCCACTTCTGCGACCCAAGGGAATCTCTCTTTTTTTTGGGGGGGGGGGGTAGTCTTTGGCAAGCCCTTTTGGTTGTATCACAGTAGTGGTCATTTCCCACGGCCTTGTTCATAATGTTCAAATGGCAGGAATCAGAATTGGAAGCATGCAATACTTCCGCATTCCGCTTGAGAATGCCAGGATGCAATCTGTGCATGCGGAAAGCTGCAACTGCCTCACGTTACTTACCATCATGAGGGGATTGCTTCATGATTGGAGAGAGGGAGTACCAGGCCCTGAAGCCCTTGTTTCGCGGTAAGGGCACCTAAAAGGAAACCAAAGCGCATGTTTTGCACCCCATAGACTTGGATTAGCCTGTTGAGCTTACAAGGACACCTGCCCCATCCCATTTTTGGGTCAGCCACCCTCCAAAACGGGTTGCGCGCATAGGCGGAGGCCGCTGCGGTTCGGGGCCGCTCGCAGCTGGAGGAGCACCTCGGAAAGGGGAAGCTCATGTTGGATCTTGCGGGTGGTCACTAGGGAGTGTGGTTGAATGAACCCAGGCTTTGGTCCCCTGGAAACCAGTTGGATGTGTTTTGTTGTGTCATGCCACTTCTCATTCCCAACCAGTGTTTTGGAGGCTTGGTGCTTTGAGTCTCGCTGCTGTAACTATTTAAATGCATTTAACTTAGTTTTTGAGAATACCCATTTGCTTTGTAAACCAACAAGTAGTTCGAACCTGTTTTGGCCAATCCATTCAGGAGGGGAGTTTGCGGCTTCATTTAGAGGGAAACAATCCATTTCATGGCTCTCTTATCGGAGACACGCTCAGTTGGCCGGTTGTTCAGTCCCTTTTTGTTTGGTGGGTGCGGGACTCACTAAGAACGAAATTCCAAGGTTCCAAGTCGTTTTGTGCCAAGACTTGGCAGCTGGGTTTGGGCTTAAAAGATGACAGAATTCAGATTTGACGGGGATGCCAAAATTTCCCGAGGGAACAACGCAAAGGAACTGACAATAGCGGAGCCCAAAGGATGTTCCCTTTGGTTACAGGGACACCAGAATCATGAACCCCAAAGAAGGGCTTTGGGGGCCCTTAAGGCCTTCAGGGTTTATTGGCTGATCCGGGGCTCTTCATGGATATCCCCACCCTCAGCCCCTAGAAATCCATGACGGAACCCACCCATAGCAAGCTTTTTTCCATGGATAGGAACTCCCCCCCCATAGGTTTTATGGTTCATGACAGACCTCCCCCCCCAATAGCCCACGGGTCCACGACAGAACGCCCCCGCCATGGATGGGATAGCCCCTAGAGGTCCATGACTGCCTCACTAACTTCCCCGACCTGAAGCCGAGGCTGCAGGCTCGCCAGTCGCGGCTGGCAGAGCAGCGCCAAGCTTCGCAGGAGGAGCTGCAGCGAATGAGACGACGCCTCAAGGAGGCGCCCGGGAGATACCGAAAGCCTCCCGATCCATTAAAACGGTTTTTTGGGGTACCTGGACCGAGGTCACCATTTTGGGGTACTTAAAGGGGCGATCGATTCGGTACGTCAGGTAAGCGCATGGTCAGTAAGCATGGTTATACCCCCCTGAACGGAGACTGGTATCCATGGTGGGTTATATCCTGGCTTACCACTTACCCGACCTACAAAATCAATTGCCCCTTGTAGCGAAGACCTCCCGTGGTGAACACGCTTGTTTGGGGTTACGCCGGTCCCCCAAGAAAGGCACGCAAAAGGGTGTTACCTTTCTCCATGTTCGTTTTGGCTGCAAGACAACCTGTGAAAAGAAAAAGCTCCCGAAAAAGGGCGTTTGGTTTGTTCCCCGGCACGTCTGGGTTTTGTACCTCCGAAAAAGAAGCAGAACCAAGCAGACACAATTTTTCGTAAAAAGTGTCCCGGGAGCCTTTCCCGGGGCTTTGTTGTCCCGTTATAGATTATGCAACGTGGCAGTCTCAGGCGATTAGTTGCCGCATTTCGGACGGATGCGTGGATTTTGTTGCATTGTCTTGTACACAAAGTCTTCAACAGCCAGGGGTTTGCGAAGCCAGAGCTTTGAATTCAAGCAAGTTTGGTTATTCATCCTCGATACTCTGGATTGATTTGAGAGGCACTTTTGGGGGATGAATGGTTCGTTCCGGAAGCATAGCTAAGCCTGGAAAATATGTCTGCATGGGTATTTAAGCTGCAATATGCTGCAATGCTGATTTGTGGAGGCGACCGGCAATCAAAAGGCAGACTGGCTGAGTCTTGAGCTTCACTTGTGAGCTGTTTTGGGATCAAATCTGCGTCACTCATGTAGATTTCTTTTTACAAGGAGGCCTCTTGGTGTATATCTGAAAGGTCTGCAGGTTGCCCTGTTGCAAGGTTGTTTGGTGAAAATTTTGTGCGAGCTTCCATGCTAGGCAAGAGTGTAAGTTGAATTTGAAGCAAAAACAAAGACGTGTGCGCGCATACAGACACACACACACACACAAGTGCGGCGTGTGTGTGTGTGTGTGTGCCTGACTGTGGCACTTGTCTTTTCATGCTTCTCAAACGGCCGTTCCCTTAAAAAACAGGAAGCTTATGATTGATCAGGTTGTTGGTCCCCATTTAGGGACGGACGTAATGTGGCTTGAATTTGATTGCACCGCATCAGGAATGATCTCTTGCTAGGCATGAATGCTTTTCACTCTCAGCTTGCCAATTGAAATGTAGGCACGCGGCGTTCCCACACCTTAAACTTTTGTGTTTTGTTCACGTGTTGTTTCATCATGTGGCAAAACGGCCGAATGGCCGTTTGGCTCAAGATTTGGATCCCCCGTCGGGACTTCCTTGGATTTGCGTGCGTTCGCCATAGTGCGGCGATTGGCTGCGCCATCGCGGAAAAGGTCCGTGGTGTTCCAGCTGTTCGGCACTAGGAGGTGGGCGGCAGGTCGCCGAGGTGCTCCCGGGCCCGACCCTTGTCTTTACCTTCTTCTACCAGTTTCCTAACCTCCCCAAACTTGATCTTCATTAACTGTCACTCCCACAATCTGGTCACCGGCACCCTCTACATTGTGCTTTGGGACTGGGTTCTTTTGGTACTTCGTGAACCACGTGTACCTCTTTGATTCCCTGGGCTACTTCGTGTTCGCCCAAAACCGCAGGTTATCAGCCGTACCAGCTAGAAGCTGGGGCTGGTGATCCGGTTGCGGGACGTGACCCGCTACCTGCTCCCATCGCCTTACTTGTACGAGCAATGGCGTCCCCCGGAGCTTCTCATCGTGGGCCGGGCTTCGTGGACGACGAGGCCAACGCCCTTCGCGGCAACGCCGCGCCTGCTGCCCCCGGCTTAGACAGCCGGCTGTGGCCCATTCCCCCGATGGTGGGCGCAGAGCCCAATCCCGGGGTGATCACGGACGATTGGATCCTTTCTCAGGTTGTGTTTGATGAGGATGCGGAGGCCCCTATCCCGGCGGCAGTGCTCCAGATCGAGGACGGACCCCCTCTAGAAGAGGCTGAGGTTCCTCCAAATCAGGTGCCCTCATCGATTTCGCCTACTGTTCCGTTCGTGGCGCTCCAGATCGAGGACCGGGCTATCCATCATGCTGCTCATCCGGAGCCGGCTCAATCATGGTCCCTTACATGGGATCAGTTTGACCAACTCCTCGGCAGTGGACCGCAGGCTACACCGCCTGATTTCGGTCGGCTCGACTTTAACTCGGGTGCCCCCGTTTCGGTTGGGAATCTGGATTTTCAATCCCTTTTTGATGCTGATTGGAGGTCTCAGCCTTCCCGAATTGACAGATCCTTTGATGCCCTGCCGTCGCATGAGCCTACTCAGGGTTTTCCTCATGATGGAGAAAATGACCCCATTGAAGATTTCTCCCCTTCTCATGTTGCAGGTTCGGCCCAACCCGAGGTGGGCAAACGGGCGATTGAGGATTGGCCGCAAATAGCTGGCCCTCCTCCCGTCTCAGGTTCATCCGACATTGACATCATTCACGATCACCCCAGTCCGGCGGATATGGACTTCATCCCTGATGCAGTATCATCTCACCTGTCAGGTACCCGCGACCGGAATGCGGACCGCTACAACGCTGGTCCGAATCCACCGCTTTCCTCAGGTACCCGAGGTCGGGATGCGAACCGCTACAACGCGGGCTCAAATCCGCCAAATCGGACATCAGGTACTAGTCGATCGGATGCGGGCCGCGAAACAGCAGGCCCAAATCCTTCCTCCTCTTCGTCAAGAAGCCATGCCGGTCTCTTCGCGGCGTTCAATCGGCGTCAGACTCGAAAAGAGTCCGCCCCCGACGTCATCGACCTCGAGGAGCAGTCCAGCCACCGTACCAGCGATGGATCCGAGCAGGATACACCTGGTATTGGCTCTACTCCCTTCGACCTCCTCGACATCCCCTTCCATCAGCCACCCAGGAGAGGAAATGAAGATGATGAAACCATCCCTGGAATCCTTGATGTAATCGATGAGGCCGAGGTCACACCAGAGAGACGAACGACATCGCTCCCGCCGAGCCGCGTTGCCAAAGTACTTTCCCCTAAGCCACTCATTGGTGACGTTGCTCAACGGCTTGATCTCACTCAACCTGATCCAGATCAAGCTCAACTTCGCGGGTCGTCATCTTTTGATAACATGTCGGGACAAACCGGCACTGACTCACGAGCCACAAAGAGGAGCTCTGAGTCACCCGAGAGACGTGAAGCTGCTTTGCGATTGCGATCTAATCCCCCAGCTCATCACGATCCTACTGACGTTCCTATCCACTCTGCGGGGTCTGGGCTCAGCTCCAATGCCCCGATGTCTGAGAAGGAGACTGATGACGGGATTAACTCTACGCCCAGGAATCGGAGACCTGGACTCAGCACTGTTGCTCCTGGTCATGGAGGGCTTCCTTCAAATCAACCGGTCAACAACTCCCTCGTCCCCGCATTCTTTCAAATTGGAACTCCGGGCTGCACTCCTGACAGGGAAGAAAATAGGCGCGGCGATCATGACGCTGATAGTCGTCCTGCTCCGTCTGCTTCCACAAGTGGCGGCCATCCTGTTGCATCTGAGCTTCAACGACTGCTTCTCGCGATCCACAACGAGGTAAAGGGGTGCAAGGCCGAAATCCAGGGATGCAGAACCGAGATTCGTTCATGTAGGGATGATGTCAACGCTTGCGTCGGTGAGATCAAGAAGATCAATAACCGTGTTGACGCCTTCGAGAAGAAGGTTGAATCATCTTTCTCTGCCGTTGCCGGAACTCTCTCAAAACACGAGGCCAAGTTCCGTGATTTCCACGAGTGGGTCGCCCGAAGCGAGAAGGAGATGAATGAGCGTTTCAAGATGTATGATGAGAGGTCTGACTCGATCGTCATATCCGCTGCTGAACTTCGCGAGCAGGCCGAATCACTTGAGAACGTCAAGGTCCAGCTCCTTAGGTTCTCTGAGATCGGGGCCCTTGAGGCTGAGGTTCGGAAAATCAAGGACGAAGTTGAGGCGAACTCTCGCAGTGTCATCGACATTGAGGGAACCATCTCAAGGGAAAGAACCATCCGTGGGAACGTCGAGACGTATATCCAGCAGCTCGTTCCTGCGACCGACCTGAAGCAGTTCAGTGATAGGATGTCCGGAGCTCTCAATGAGAACTCACAGAAACAGGAAGAGTTCAAGCTTCAATTGTCCCGTATTGCTAGATGCGTCAAGGACCTTCATGACAAAAGCTTAGGCCCCAATCCGAGGGACATGCAAGAGCAGTTTATGAAGCTTGTGCTGAGGGTCAATGAGATCAACATGCAGATCGCTGAGTTGAGGGAGCAACCTCTTGCTGCCTGCGGGTCTTCAAGTGCTGGCGCTGCTTCGACCGCCGGAACGGGACCATGGGAGAAATCTGGAGACACTGATCCCTTAACCCAGGGAAGGGCTCCTAGAGATTCTCCCTCTCGTGATGCTCGCACCGTCAGCTCGGCTAGGCCTCCTCCACCTCCACCTCCTTCAGGGCCACCCCCACCGTCACCATCAGCCCCCATCTTCGGCAGGGATCCCTCTAGAACGAGGGCCATTGCTCGGGCTGCCGGCGCTGCCCCTGATAACCGGGCCAGGTGTGATCATGAGGAGCCCGGGCATCCACAGCATCGGGAACCTCGCTATCCATGCCGAAGCTGCGGCAAATCAGTCTGCGAAGACTGCTTTGACCATGATTGTAACTCGTGTTTCAAGTGCAGCGATCAGTTTCCTAGATGCCGCGCATGCAGAGGAAGAGGGGGGAGACACGGACTTGTGAGGTGTCTCATATGCAAGGACGAGTACTGCGATCAACACATCGCCTCACCTGACGATGTGCGCCGTTTTGGATCGAGTGTTCGACCTATTTGCCTCGGTTGTCTGAGAGCTGACCCCGACGGGAAAACTAAGCATCGCGGTCCCAGTGCGGGGCCTGGAGGACCTGATTGCATTCCTGATCATAATCAGCGGG